AAGTGACAGAATAAATAATTTTTGAAATAATTTTTTTTTTCGGTATTAATAAAATTGAAAATAATTTTGCTAGCTACAAATCGATATGTGACACACTTCTACGTGTCCAATCGATCTGAAATTTTGCAACCTTGCTCAAAGTTGGAGACAATGCATGAATTAATTGACAGAATTGATAATTTTATAAATTAAATATTTTTCATTATTAAAAAAACATTTAAAAATAATTTCGTCTGCCACAAATCTTATAATCCATATATGACACAATTTGACCTGTCCAATCGATCTGAAATTTTGCACAATTGCATAAAGTCAGGGACAATGCATAAATCAGTTGACAGAATAAATAATTTTGAAAATTTACAAAATTTTGATATCTTAAAAAAATTTTGAGAAATAATTTTTTCAATATTAGAAAATAAAATTAGAAATTCATTGTACATGTGTAACATACAAGACACTGGATTCTTCAGAAGGGTTGTCTTTAAAAAGTAATTTTCAAACGCATATTATTTTAGTTTATAACCGTGGCCCCTGGTGTTGATTCTTGTTTCAAATTCTAGTAATCCTTCTGGGACATTGTATAAACCGTGGGTATACTTGTATACTTCAATGTGTACAAAACTTCAATGTGTACAAAACTTCAATGTGTACAAAACTTCAATGTATACATAATATTCAATGACTTCCTTCGAGTCATTGAGTAAGTGCAAATTGTTGCACTTATTGAAAATATTGTTGCAAATATTGAAATGTTTAGTTGAAGGTGTGTTGAATACTTATTTTCCAGAGGATTCAGAGAGTTCTTAAACTGCCTACGTAGGAAGTTCTATGCATTTCAATGGTCTTATAGTTCGGTAGGTGCATTTAAATGGATTGTTTCATTCACTTGGATGGTTCATTGTAAATTTTTATTTGGTTAACAGAGAATTTTGCTGGTTTGTAGGATTACCGAGTTTTTTCGACTAATCGGCTGGTTTTTTGGAGCATGTAAATAGTTAGTCATGTGCAATGTATTGCTTTGTGAGACGCAATTTGTTGATAGCAAAAGTTTGTTTGTTCTATGCAAATGGTTTGTCGGTTAACTCTAAGTGATTACTCAAATGCTCTCATATGGTTTGTTTTATGAATTTTCGTGATTTTTGGATGCATCTAGAGTGTTGGCTGGATGCATTTGGATGGTTTATTGGATGCTTTTGGGTGGTTGGCTGGATGCTTTTGCATGATTGCTTGGATGCATTTGGATGGTTGGTTAGATGCATTTGGATGGTTGGTTAGATGCATTTGGATGGTTGGTTGAATGCATTTGGATAGTTGGTTGAATGCATTTGGATAGTTGGTTAGATGCATTTGGATGTTGGTTGGATGCATTTGGATGGTTGGTTGAATGCATTTGGATAGTTGGTTGTATGCATTTGGATGGTTGGTTGGATGCATTTGGATGGTTGGTTGGATGCATTTGGATGGTTGGTTGGATGCATTTGGATGGTTGGCTGGATGCATTTGGATGGTTGGTTGGATGCATTTTGACTGTTGTATTAAACATTTGGATGGCTTGTGTGAAGCATTTATTAATAATTCTGAATGCATTTATATTGGTTGCCAGATGAATTTCGATGCATTAATTTGCTGCATGACTTCGATTGTCTGTTGAACGCATTTATGAAGTGTCTTGCTTAACCAAGCAGACTAGGAACCATAGAAGCCTATGCCTATTATTCAAATTGACATCAAACATTTACTAAACGTCCATCTCAGCCGATATTCTGCTATTTTAAGTTAAAGTTGCTTGGCAGGTAATAGCAGCGAGTTTATGTTGCGAGTGACGTGAGTGACGTGAGTGATGTGAGTGACGTGAGTGACGTGAGTGACGTGAGTGATGTGAGTGACGTGAGGACGTGAGTGACGTGACACATTCGAATTTCGGATCAGTCAAATTTCGGACAAAAAGATGCCTATAGTTTTTACTTTATCATTTTTAAAAACCAGAGGCTGCTTGATGGACCGCGAAAAAGGCAATGCCAGTAGCTCCACGACATAATTTTGTATTCTTATAAAAACATTATTATTAATATTTCGGCTGTTAGTTGGCAGAAGCAACAACTGAATAATTTTCGTTATTGTATCCAGGGCCCACAAGTTTTATTGAATATTCAGGTGTGTGATGTTGGGATGGCAATGCTCAATACAGTGAAAGCAGTGCCCTGCACGATGACAGGCATTATACAATGTACCTGCGGTTATGCATATCAGGCCTTCACAATTTGGATATTATATGTCATCGTGATACTATAGTGCGGTTCACATTATTCTTTCCCTCGTCAGTGAATTAAAATCGTTTTATTCAAATCGTGCGTGTTGGGCATGACTCATCGCGGCATAAGTATTATGACACCTCGTTGCTTCTTGGACAAATTAATACAATACAAACCATTCGGTAGTTCAAACGACATCGATGACAAATCTTAGTCCATGCTATACGGTCCTCATTTCATGTAGTTACTTCATTCTGTTCGTTGGGGAACATTTGTTGCTATACGTGAACTTTTTCCAGAATCTGATACGTAAACTTTTCCAGAATCCGTTCTATTCAGTTTATAACACAAAAGTGTTCAACATTCAGTTTATCGGTGACAATATTAGCACTCAGTTTATCAGCGCCAGTTCATCCACCTGAAGCTGGTGCGTCATCTCGAGTCCCCAAATATGAAGGTAAGGGGGATCCAGGCAGTGATGAATAATTAATGGATCTTTTTATCATATAATTAGTAACCGATCCTGATATAAGCTGGTAGATGACCTGGCGTGTGCTTGGGACGCGTCTGTCACGCCGTCACGCGGTGTTGTGTTTGCTCAGTGTTACTTGGGCCTTCACGAGGCATGACTCGTCTGTACCTATCTTTTTCCAGAATTAGTTTCATTTTTTTATTAACACAAAAGTGTTCAACATTCAATTTATCGGTGACAATCCTATTAGCTGTCAGTTTATCAGCGCCAGTTCATCCCCCTGAAGTCAGCTGGAGCGTCATCTTATGCATCTAACCGGCGCTATGAAGGTAAGGGGGATCCATGCATTGAACAATAATTAACCGATCTTTTTATCACTTAATTAATAACCGATCCAAAGATATTTTTTTATTGACCCGGTAAGACTTTAGATACGTGAATATTTATTTTTCAGGTAGAAAATCTGTAAAAATGTTCTTTATATGAAAACACGATTTTATAATTGAGGGTATATAATTGGTTGAAAAGTTTCTCTGCACATGAAAATAATGATATTCTCCCTGAGAAAATACTAGTATATTTTCACGGGCGTCACTTATTACGTCACTAGGATCGATTATTGTGTCAATAGTTACGTAATGGAGGTCACTTATTGCGTCATTAATTATCGACATTATGAATATTCTGTTCGATAACAGGGGACATTCTGCACTGATATTTACTTATGAGCACAACAATGCAAGCGTTCAATGGGCGCCCCCGACGATGTCCTGCAGCCATGAAGTCAACTGGCATCAGGTTAATCATTGTTAAAGGTTAATTTTATGCTCGCAGTTGTGATAGCAAGAATGTTAGCAAACACCAGTGCTTAGCAGGCGACGTCACTCACAGCTCTTGTTGCTCTGCAGGGCACGAGCAGCTGCTGCAGGCTGCTGCTGCTCCTGGCAGCCGCGGCAACCGCAGCTGCAGGCGAACAAACTTCTGCAGGCGCAGGTGAGTCTGAGTCTCCAGGTCCGGTTCCTTGTGGCTAATATGAATTGAATTCAAATAACTGGCATTACATTGCTCTGACCTTTGCTTTTTCGGCATAACTATTTTTTCCTTATTATCAGCATTATCATTTTCGGTAATCCATACATAACAGCACCACATCCTCGTGGCAATCCCTTTCCCCCCTCCCCTCATTCAATAAAATCTTATTAAAACCAAGCACTCATTCAAGTATGAGCTCATATGCAAACGCTAATAGCTAATAAAGACGCCCCAAAGTCTTCAACCCTTCTTAGAGATAAATCAATTTTATTGAGAAAATTGAAAAAGTAATAACATTTTTGCACATACATTATTGAAACAAAATTATTACTTAGTGACCACGAAAGATTGATTACGCATATACGAATTTTTTAATTAGGATCTGAAAATTCTTTACCGAATTACTTGTAATTGCAGGCGTGTGCCGCGCTGATGAGTTCAAGTGCGCCAACACCGGCCGCTGCATTAACGCGGCGGAGCGCTGCGACGGAGACAACCACTGTGGCGACGACAGCGACGAGCGCGACTGTGAGTTGCCTGATGAGTCGAACGCTGCCGCGCAATTCTACTGTCTTTTAGTTCAAGTCAATATGAAGATGTTCTTATATATTATTAATAATCCATTATTTACTTGGATTTATATGAATTATTTCTTGCCGGCGTACAACCATAACGTTTCATAACTGAATTATTTTCAATGTTTCGCCGTAAACATGCTATAACTAAATCCGAGTTGTCGAGTTCCGCATCTTATGGTGTCTAGATTATCTTTGCACAAGATGTTTTATTCCAGCTGAGCATATGGCATATCGGTGTTAATGAACATACTATTTCATTCACCTCGGGTGCACGTGTTATAAACTGCACATACTTCACATTCATTACTTCTCAAAATTCTTCTGTTTTAATGTCTCAAGTTCAGGACACCCGATCATCCTACATTTAACATATGTGTGGAGATTAGGAGGTGTTCTGAGAAAAGGGGCTCACGAAGGAGGCTATATGACTTTTTTCTACTTATAAAATAATATTCAGGATTTTTTAATTAAGTAGTATGACACTATTTTGCTTAGATTACAGAATAACGTAAAAATATAACAACCAGGACTTAAGATTACGGCAACTCACTTAGCTTGAATGATTTACAATTAGTGAGCCCGACTATCAAGGCTTCTTTGGTTCATCACAGGCTGCACCGGCGACAACTTCATGTGTGACAACGGAAGATGCATCCAGAAGAGTTGGGAATGCGACGGCAGGCGCAACAACTGCGGGGACTGGAGTGATGAGAAGCATTGTGAGTACACGGCTGATGTAATGATCAGTTATCGCTTAGAATAATTTTCATCAGTTATGCCTTAGCACAATTGTCAACAGTTATTGCATTAAAGATATATCTGGCACACTAGAGAGGCACCATATGTTCTCGGTAATATCTCCTTCAATAAAATCTTTGTTTAACTAAACACTCACCCTGTGTTAAGCTCAGCTGTAACCCGGCTAATGAACCACTCGCTTCTTCTCAATTCTTTCATGTTCATTCGATTTTAATCTGGTGTGAAAATTCCACATAATTAATTAAGTACTACATGTGCAATAAAATCCGTTGAAATAATAGAATGAGCATTAATTTATCATCAGGTACTACAAATCCAAGATCATTTCTAAATTGTTTTAGAAACCCTGATTGTAGAACATAATTGAGCTGAGCGTCCAAGTGAAGCAGTATATAGTAAGAAAGAGTGATAGTGTAGCATAAATAACAGTATAACAAAAGATAATTTCGTGATCTCCAAAGATTTATCTTCTGTGTTCACACCTTCTCAATTATGGTCTTGATTTAATCTACCGAATAACTGGTGCTTGCAGGCGTGTGCCGCTCTGATCAGTTCAAGTGCGCCAACACCGGCCTTTGCATAGACGAGACGCTGCGGTGCGACGGAAATTCCAACGACTGCTTCTACGACGACAACAGTGACGAGCACGGCTGTGAGTTGCCTGATGAGTCGAGCGCTTCTCGCTCAATTCAACAGTCTTTTATTTCAAGTTGACATGAGGATTGAATTTAAGTCAATTATTCTTCGTCCAATCATAACATTTCACTATCAATTTCTTTTCAATGTTTCGCGCAACTGCTATCAAATTTAATCACTTCTGGGGCCTTATTTTTTTTAATCAAAAAAGTTTTACTAGCTGGACCCATTGCATGTTATGGCTGGCTTTAATGATCATTATCAAATACTTTTTGTGAAAGACTCAGCAGACTTTACCTCCACCTCTGAAGCAGGTGTTATAAACAACACATACATACGTATTATTCTTATCTCTCCCCATTCCTCGTTCTCTTCTTCGCCTCACGTTCAGGAAGCCCGATCATCGTGCATGGAATATTAATGTGAAGATGGAAGTGGTGTTAGGAAGGGGAGGGTTCACTGAGTAGGGTATATAACTTCCTTGCGTTTAAAAATAATATTATGATTTTTTAAAATTGAATTAGTCCGACACTATTTTGCAGAAATTACAGAATAACACAAAATATATATCCACTAGAAACATTACCGCAACTCACTAAGCTTGAATTATTTATTAGTTAGCCTGACTTTCATGGCTTCTCTGTTCATCACAGGCTGCACCGGTGACCATTTCGTGTGTGACGACGGCAGATGCATCAACAAGCGTAATGAATGCGACGGCAGGAACAATTGCTGGGACTGGAAAGATGAGAAGCATTGTGAGTACACGGCTGATGTGATGAGTCAGTAAGTGTGTGTGTCTTCACATGATGAGTCGGCGTAGGTATTAAATTAATATGATGGATGAGTGGGTCAATGAGTCTTCTATCACGAATCACTGGAAGAATGTCGTCCAAAATCTCGCATTACTGTTTTGACACACAACAAGAGTTATACAGCATTCCATGTTTCTAAGATGAGTGAGTGTGAGTTCAATTTTCACATAATAATTTTAAATGATGTTCATATCGTTAGTTAGGTTTTGCCGTTGAAATTGATCATAATCAACGCCAATGTGAATTTGGAAACTGGCAAGTGTGATGTGCGAATTGAGGGTGTAAGGTGTTTATATTATTCTCCTCGTGGGGCGTGAGCAGCATCCAGTTAGTTCCATAGAGCAGCAGTATCCAGCAGCGGAACCTCGCAACATCCAGCGTAGGAAACACGAGGCATCTTATTTCAGCATCCAGTAGAATCATCCAACAGCAGCATACAATAGCATACAGTAGCATGCAGCAGCATCTAGCAGAAGTAGTCATCAGCAGCCTCTAACTGCAGCATCCAGCTGAAGCATTGAGCAGCCGAATCAAGCAGCAGCAGCAAGAGCAGTAGTATCCAGCAGCGGAACCTCGCAACATCCAGTGGAGGTAACTCGAGGCATATTGCTGCAGAAACCAGCTTCCAAATGCAGCATACAGCAGCAGCATTGAGCAGCGGCATCCAGCAGCAGATGGTCTTTGTTGATATCCTCAATATAGAACTATTCAGTGCGGGTGTGATGCTGATTTCATGAGTCAGCTTGAGAAGAAATTTCCTATGCTTGGTCAATTGGCCATTCAGATTTATGTAGTTTGTCACTTGAAGGATTACACTCTTATTTTACGTTTGTTTGATAATTAGCTTCCAACAATGGATTTTATTGCCGGTCGATCATTGACCTTCTTTAAATGATCTACCGGCATCACAACGTGACAATGCCGATAGATCATTGTTACCGGTGTATCATTAACCTTGAAGTGATTTACCGGCAACACAATACGACAATGCCGGTAGATCATTGTTACCGGTGTATCATTTACCAGCAAGCACCAGTGAGTACCAGCAAGCACCAGTGAGTACATACAAGCACAAGAGAGTAACAGCTACCGCAATAGACGAGAATAACATCATTTCAAGGCGAGTTAAAAAAAATTATTGTGGTTTTTCTTTCGATTCATTTGTTCAAAAATGACCGCTGCCAACTTTAGAAGAAGAGGTGGACCACTCTCAACTGGACCCCCCTTCCTTGGGCTGCCCTCCCTGGACCTTCCTACCTGGACCACCCTTCCCTGGATAACCTCTCCCTGGACCAATCACCCTGGACCACTCTCCCTGTACCACCCTCTATGAACCACCCTCCCTGGACCACCCTCCATGGACCACCCTCCCTGGACCACCCTCATTGAACCACCCTCCATGGATCACCCCTACCTGGATCACTCCTCTCAGGACCACCCTTCCCAGGACCATCCACCCCTGGACAACCCTCCATGGTCATTCATCCTTGGAAGAATTGAGATGAATTGTCAGAATCTTGAAGAATAAGCATTCAGTTGAACTATCATCAATTATCGCCCAATTGCATTATCATTAATTGTCTTATAGTGAAATTATCATCAGTTATTGATTAGAACAATTGACATCAGTTATCGCTTAGAACAATCGTCATCAGTTATCGCTTAGAACAATTGTCATCAGTTATCGCTTAGAACAATCGTCATCAGTTATCGCTTAGAACAATTGTCATCAACCATCGCTTAGATATCTGTTCTAGCCTAAAATATAAAGCTGACACTAGAGAGGCACCATCAAATTCTCTCGGTAACCCCTCCTTCAATAAAATCTTCGTATAACTAAACACTCACTCAGCGGTGACCTCAGCTCCAGCCCGGCTAATGAACCATTTTTTCTCCCAAATTATTATTATTCTTATTCTCTCAAATTTCTATTTGATTTAATCAGGTGCAAAAATTCCGCTTACGGAAGTACTATATGTGCAGTAAAATCCGTTGAATTAATAGAATGAGCATTAATTTATCATCAGGTATTTCAAATTCAAGGCAATTTCTAAATTGTTTTAGAAACTCTAATAATAGAAAATAACTGAGCTGAATATCCGGATGAAGCAGAACATAGTAAGGAAGATTGATAAAATAGCATAAAGTACATGTCAGTATGACAAAATATTATTTCGTGATCTCCAAATATTCATCTTCCATGTTCAAATCATCTCAATTATGGTCCTAAACTAATCTACCTAATTACTGATGATTGCAGGCGTGTGCCGCTCTGATCAGTTCAAGTGCGTCTACACTGGCCGCTGCATAGACGAGGCGGAGCGCTGCGACGGAAGCTTCCACTGCGGCCACGGCGACGAAAGCGACGAGGGCGGCTGTGAGTTGCCTGATCAGTCGAGCACTTACTGCTCTATTCTACTGTATTCTGTTCCGAGTTGATATGAGGATCCGCTTCTGCTCTCAATAATTCATTTATTACTTGAATTTAAGTGAATTATCCCTCGTCCAGTCATAACGTTTTATTTAAAATTTTTTCAACTTTTCGTAACACTACTATCGAGTTCATTCACTTCTGGGGCCTAAATATTCTTTACACGAAAGGGTTTTGGCCCAATGAACTCATTGCATGTTATGGCCGGCTTTACTGAGCACTATCAAAGATTATGGTAAAAGGCTCAATAGATTTTGCCTCCACATTTGAAGCAGGTGTCAAAGATAATCCATATATATTGCAAAATTCTTATCTCTCCACATTCCTCGTTCTCTTCTTCGCCTCACATTCTGGTGCCGTATTATCAAAACTTCGTAAGTACGCAAAATCGACTTACGTGTGGCGTAAGTGCTGATATGATGACGTTGCTCTAGCGGTGTATTATCAAAACATTTGCGCGGGAAGCTACGTACAAGAAGCTCTACGCCTGCTCGGAGGTGTCGGAAGTGGAGTTACGCACAGGTTTTGAGTGTGCCAAAGCAATAAAAAACTATTGATATACTTTCAACACGGTTAATTGTAATAGTATTTTGTAAATAATTTAACATAGGCATAATATGTGATAGTGCAAAACGGTGCTTTTGGGATAAAAATGTCAATTGCCTTTTGTGCTATAATTTACAAGCAAATTTTGATAATCTTATCTAAGAGTTTTATGATCATTCACTTGAAAAATATCTTAATGCCTTTTTGATTCAAAATTATATTGAGGTTGATAAGCCAAGCATTTTCTAGTTCTCTTTAAACAAATTTATTTCATTTTATGACAGTCGCAACTCCAACTTGCGAAAACGAAATTTTTAAAATTCTTTGTAACCTTGTAAAAAATTCTTCTCATTTTGAATGTGAATAATGCATTTAGTTGCCCTTATTGCAAGAAATTACGGTTAATGATCACAACAACAAGTGCATTGCTATTTGAATAACGTCACATTCATTTATCCAAATACATCCTAGTCAGGCACCGCAAATGCTGACACCACACATCCTACTTTAATCCAAGCGCACTGCGCACTGTTCGAGAGGAGCTATAGGAACAGCAAATCCAAAGCCTCTGCTTGGTCAGTTAGCCCGATGCTTTTGATAATACGCCTTTAGTTAAGTCTTGCGTACGAAAGTTTTGAAAATGCCAAAATTAGGATGTGTTACGTAACACGTAACTTTTTTGTCGTAGGTACAGAAAGTTACGAAGTTTTGATAATACGGCCCTTGGAGGCCCGACCATCGTGCATATTATAGTAATGAAAAGATCGAGAAATTAAGGTGTTTGGAGGGAAATGGTTTACTGAGTAGGCTATATGACTTCCTTTCTTTCAAAAAATAACATTAAGAATTTTCTAATTGGATTAGTATGAGTGAAATTTCTTTGCTGAAATTTCATACTAATTCGAAGTATGTATCCAATTAGATTCAACATTACCGCAACTCATTAAACTTGAATGACTTCCAATTAGTTAGCCTGACTTTCACGGCTTCTTTGGTTCATCTCAGGCTGCACTGGGGAACACTTCGTGTGCGACAACGACAGATGCATCCAGAAGAGTTGGGAATGCGACGGCGAGAACAACTGCGGGGACTGGAGTGATGAGAAGCATTGTGAGTACACGGCTGATGTGATGAGTCAGTAAGTCTGTGTGTCATAACATCATGAGTCGGCGTAGGTATTAAATTGATATGATGGCTAAGTGGGTCAATGAGTCTTTTATTACGCGACAAGTCACTGGGAGAATCCTTAAAATACTCACATTACAGATTTGACTTACAACCAGAGTTATTCTGCATACCATGTTTCTAAGATGAGTAAGTAGGAGTTAAATTTTAATTTAATATATATAAATAATGTTCATATAATTAATTGGATTATGCAATTAAATTTGATCATAATCATAAAAGCCAATGTGGAGTTGGAAACCGGCACGTGTGATGTGCGTGTTGAGGGTTTAAGGTGTTTATCCTCTCTCGTGAGGCGTGAGCAGCATTCAGTTCTATTCAGCAGCAACATCCAGCAACGGAAAATCGCAGCATCCAGCAACGGAAAATCGCAGCATCCAGTAGAATCATCCAACTGCAGCATTTCTTTCTCAATTATGGGCTTGGCATAATTTTCCTAATTACTGGTGATTGCAGGTGTGTGCCGCTCTGATCAGTTCAAGTGCGCCGACACCGGCCGCTGCATAAAAGGTGCGTTGCGGTGCGACGGAAACGGCCAATGCCCCTACAGCGACGACAGCGACGAGCGCGACTGTGAGTTGCCTGAAGCTGCTGTTTTCAATTTCTAGTTGATATAAGGATCTGCTTCTGCTCTCAATAATTCTTCTAATTACAGTATATACTTGAATTTGAGTACATTATTCCTTGTCCAATCAAAACGTCTTACCATAATTTTTATTTACGTTTCGTAAAACTATTACGGCTAATGTTGACTTGTCAATTTCAACCTCTT